CTGATCAAGTGTGTGAGACGGCAGATGTGAAGGCACAGTGAAGAGGTTGTATTTAGACACAGCAAGGTTACGCATCTCCTCGTAGGTTCTCCAGTCATGAGGAGCCACAACAGTCAGAGCATAGAATGTCCTCTCCAGATACTGCTCAACATAATCTTCAAAGAAAATACTCAATTAATAAACATTATCAAGGAAGATAACCAGACACTAAAGGTGTGAAGTTGTTGGGGCCATCTGAACTGCCATGTCAGAAGGCTTCTGCCAAGACAGCTATTGAATGAATGATGGGCAATGTGTTTCCTCTTTTTTTGGGTCACCCTATCTTGACAGGAGATGGCAGGGTGGTAAAAAAATACTAGGCAGGACTAATTATTCATATAACATCAAAAAATTAACACACAAGCTGTCTCCCATAATTTAATCAACAAGTGTCTTGTCAGCCATGAACAGATATCACAAATCACAATTTAAATAAACTTCTGAACTGCAACATATCATCTCCCCCCCCCTCTAACTCCCTGAGGGTACAGGCACTGTACAGGAGGGCCCTCCCCCTCTGAGGGTACAGGCACTGCACAGGAGGGCCCTCCCCATCTGAGGGTACAGGCACTGCACAGGAGGGCCCTTCCCCCCTCTCTCTCCCTGAGGGTACAGGCACTGTACAGGAGGGCCCTCCCCCTCTGAGGGTACAGGCACTGCACAGGAGGGCCCTCCCCATCTGAGGGTACAGGCACTGTACAGGAGGGCCCTTCCCCCCTCTCTCTCCCTGAGGGTACAGGCACTGTACAGGAGGGCCCTCCTCTTCTGAGGGTACAGGCACTGTACAGGAGGGCCCTCCCCATCTGAGGGTACAGGCACTGCACAGGAGGGCCCTTCCCCCCTCTCTCTCCCTGAGGGTACAGGCACTGTACAGGAGGGCCCTCCCCCTCTGAGGGTACAGGCACTGCACAGGAGGGCCCTCCCCATCTGAGGGTACAGGCACTGTACAGGAGGGCCCTTCCCCCCTCTCTCTCCCTGAGGGTACAGGCACTGTACAGGAGGGCCCTCCTCTTCTGAGGGTACAGGCACTGTACAGGAGGGCCCTCCCCATCTGAGGGTACAGGCACTGTACAGGAGGGCCCTCCCCCTCTGAGGGTACAGGCACTGTACAGGAGGGCCCTCCCCCTCTGAGGGTACAGGCACTGTACAGGAGGGCCCTCCCCCTCTGAGGGTACAGGCACTGTACAGGAGGGCCCTTCCCCTCTGAGGGTACAGGCACTGTACAGGAGGGCCCTCCCCCTCTGAGGGTACAGGCACTGTACAGGAGGGCCCTCCCCCTCTGAGGGTACAGCCACTGTACAGGAGGGCCCTTCCCCCCTCTCTCTCCCTGAGGGTACAGGCACTGTACAGGAGGGCCCTCCCCTCTGAGGGTACAGGCACTGTACAGGAGGGCCCTCCCTTCTGAGGGTACAGGCACTGTACAGGAGGGCCCTCCCCATCTGAGGGTACAGGCACTGCACAGAAAGGCCTTCCCCCTCTGAGGGTACAGGCACTGTACAGGAGGGCCCTCCCCCTCTGAGGGTACAGGCACTGTACAGGAGGGCCCTCCCCCTCTGAGGGTACAGGCACTGTACAGGAGGGCCCCTCCCCCCTCCCCCTCTGAGGGTACAGGCACTGTACAGGAGGGCCCTCCCCCTCTGAGGGTACAGGCACTGTACAGGAGGGCCCTCCCCATCTGAGGGTACAGGCACTGTACAGGAGGGCCCTCCCCCTCTGAGGGTACAGGCACTGTACAGGAGGGCCCTCCCCATCTGAGGGTACAGGCACTGTACAGGAGGGCCCTCCCCATCTGAGGGTACAGGTACTGTACAGGAGGGCCCTCCCCCTCCCCCTCTGAGGGTACAGGCACTGTACAGGAGGGCCCTCCCCCTCTAAGGGTACAGGCACTGTACAGGAGGGCCCCTCCCCCTCTGAGGGTACAGGCACTGTACAGGAGGGCCCTTCCCTCCTCTCTGTCCCAGAGGGTACAGGCACTGTACAGGAGGGAACTTCCCACTGAGGGTACAGGCATTGTACAGGAGGGCCCTCCCTTCTGAGGGTACAGGCACTGTACAGGAGGGGCCTCCCCCTCCTGAGGGTACACTGTACAGGAGGGCCCTCCCCCTCTGAGGGTACAGGCACTGTAAAGGAGGGCCCTTCCCCTCTGAGGGTACAGGCACTGTACAGGAGGGCCCTCCCCCTCTGAGGGTACAGGCACTGTACAGGAGGGCCCTCCCCCTCTGAGGGTACAGGCACTGTACAGGAGGGCCCTTCCCCCCTCTCTCTCCCTGAGGGTACAGGCACTGTACAGGAGGGCCCTCCCCTCTGAGGGTACAGGCACTGTACAGGAGGGCCCTCCCTTCTGAGGGTACAGGCACTGTACAGGAGGGCCCTCCCCATCTGAGGGTACAGGCACTGCACAGAAAGGCCTTCCCCCTCTGAGGGTACAGGCACTGTACAGGAGGGCCCTCCCCTCTGAGGGTACAGGCACTGTACAGGAGGGCCCTCCCCCTCTGAGGGTACAGGCACTGTACAGGAGGGCCCCTCCCCCCTCCCCCTCTGAGGGTACAGGCACTGTACAGGAGGGCCCTCCCCCTCTGAGGGTACAGGCACTGTACAGGAGGGCCCTCCCCATCTGAGGGTACAGGCACTGTACAGGAGGGCCCTCCCCCTCTGAGGGTACAGGCACTGTACAGGAGGGCCCTCCCCATCTGAGGGTACAGGCACTGTACAGGAGGGCCCTCCCCATCTGAGGGTACAGGTACTGTACAGGAGGGCCCTCCCCCTCCCCCTCTGAGGGTACAGGCACTGTACAGGAGGGCCCTCCCCTCTAAGGGTACAGGCACTGTACAGGAGGGCCCCTCCCCCTCTGAGGGTACAGGCACTGTACAGGAGGGCCCTTCCCTCCTCTCTCTCCCAGAGGGTACAGGCACTGTACAGGAGGGAACTTCCCACTGAGGGTACAGGCATTGTACAGGAGGGCCCTCCCTTCTGAGGGTACAGGCACTGTACAGGAGGGGCCTCCCCCTCCTGAGGGTACACTGTACAGGAGGGCCCTCCCCTCTGAGGGTACAGGCACTGTACAGGAGGGCCCTCCCCATCTGAGGGTACAGGCACTGTACAGGAGGGCCCTCCCCCACTGAGGGTACAGGCACTGTACAGGAGGGCCCTCCCCATTTGAGGGTACAGGCACTGTACAGGAGGGTCCTCCCCCTCTGAGGGTACAGGCACTGTACAGGAGGGCCAACCCCTCCCCCTCTGAGGGTACAGGCACTGTACAGGAGGGCCCTCCCCCTCCCCTTATGAGGGTACAGGGACTGTACAGGAGGGCCCTTCCCCCCTCTCTCTCCCTGAGGGTACAGGCACTGTACAGGAGGGCCTTCCCCTCTGAGGGTACAGGCACTGCAGAGGAGGACCCTCCCCATCTGAGGGTACAGACACTGTACAGGAAGGCCCTCCCTTCTGAGGGTACAGGCACTGTACAGGAGGGCCCTCCCCCTCCTGAGGGTACACTGTACAGGAGGGCCCTCCCCCTCTGAGGGTACAGGCACTGTACAGGAGGGCCCTCCCCTCTGAGGGTACAGGCACTGTACACGAGGGCCCTCCCTTCTGAGGGTACAGGCACTGTACAGTAGGGCCCTCCCCCTCCTGAGGGTACACTGTACAGGAGGGCCCTCCCCCTCTGAGGGTACAGGCACTGTACAGGAGGGCCCTCCTCTCTGAGGGTACAGGCACTGTACAGGAGGGCCCTCCCCATCTGAGGGTACAAGCACTGTACAGGAGGGCCCTCCCCCTCTGAGGGTACACTGTACAGGAGGGCCCTCCCCCTCTGAGGGTACCAGCACTGTACAGGAGGGCCCTCCCCCTCTGAGGGTACACTGTACAGGAGGGCCCTCCCCCTCTGAGCGTACAGGCACTGTACAGGAGGGCCCTCTCCTCTGAGGGTACTGGCACTGTACAGGAGGGCCCTACCCTCTGAGGGTACAGGCACTGTACAGGAGGACCCTCCCCCTCTGAGAGTACAGGCACTGTACAGGAGGGCGCTCCCCATCTGAGGGTACAGGCACTGTACAGGAGGGCCCTCCCCATCTGAGGGTACAGGCACTGTACAGGAGGGCCCTCTCTTCTGAGGGTACAGGCACTGTACAGGAGGGCCCTCCCCATCTGAGGGTACACTGTACAGGAGGGCCCTCCCCCTCTGAGGGTACAGGCACTGAACAGGAGGGCCCTCCCCTCTGAGGGTACAGGCACTGTACAGGAGGGCCCTCCCCATGAGGGTACAGGCACTGTACAGGAGGGCCCTCCCCCTTTGAGAGTACAGGCACTGTACAGGAGGGCCCTCCCCATCTGAGGGTACAGGCACTGTACAGGAGGACCCTCCCCCTATGAGGGTACAGGCACTGTACAAGACGGCCCTCCCCTCTGAGGGTACAGGCACTGTACAGAAGGGCCCTCCCTTCTGAGGGTACAGGCACTGTACAGGAGGGCCCTCCCTTCTGAGGGTACAGGCACTGTACAGGAGGGCCCTCCCCTCTGAGAGTACAGGCACTGTACAGGAGGGCCCTCCCCATCTGAGGGTACAGGCACTGTACAGGAGGGCCCTCCTCTCTGAGGGTACAGGCACTGTACAGGAGGGCCCTCCCCATCTGAGGGTACAGGCACTGTACAGGAGGACCCTCCCCCTCTGAGGGTACAAGCACTGTACAGGAGGGCCCTCCCCCTCTGAGGGTACAGGCACTGTACAGGGGGGCCCTCCCCCTCTGAGGGTACAGGCACTGTACAGGAGGACCCTCCCCCTCTGATGGTACATGCACTGTACAGGAGGGCCCTCCCCCTCTGAGGGTACAGGCACTGTACAGGAGGGCCCTTCCCCCCTCTCTCTCCCTGAGGGTACAGGCACTGTACAGGAGGGCCCTTCCCCCCTCTCTCTCCCTGAGGGTACAGGCACTGTACAGGAGGGCCCTCCCCTCTGAGGGTACAGGCACTGCACAGGAGGACCCTCCCCATCTGAGGGTACAGACACTGTACAGGAGGGCCCTCCCTTCTGAGGGTACAGGCACTGTACAGGAGGGCACTCCCCCTCCTGAGGGTACACTGTACAGGAGGGCCCTCCCCCTCTGAGGGTACAGGCACTGAA